CTTATTGGTAGAATGTCAGTCACTTCAATTCCAAAATTGTCCCCATCATTGTTTTTGGTACTTTGTGAAAAAATTGTGGAGAGTGGAAATATTATGATTTATGAGAATTATTTTTAATTTTATATTTAATAATTTTTTTTTTTTTTTTTGGGTGAAGAAAAGGTACTTAGATAAGACGAGCCCACTTACTTAGGGAGTATTAAATTGGTGCTTACTTCAATCATTGCATTTTGTATTTGAGAGATTGCTTGACGCAATTTGGAAAAAGTAAAAAAAAAAAAAAAAAAAAAAAAAAAAAAAAAAAAAAAAAAAAAACAGCCTTATAAGGCAAAGTTAATCTGTCCATAAGTATGAAATTTACTAAAGTACATCATCATTCTCTTCCTTTACTATGGTGTAAGATGTCCAAACACCATATACATTGATTTTATTCTCTATTAAACAAGATATTACTCCATTGAAACCATCAATGCCCAAGCATTTATCTATATTCTCAAGATATTATTAATGTATTAAGAAATGACCCCAAATACAGTATAAAGTTGTTAATTAGTTATGGATAATTTCCCTAGATTTAGGTTTTGTAAAATGTATCTAGTATAATAATAGAATTTGCCACCTAGTTACCTCTCTTGTTTCTAACTCTCTCCCTCAAACGCTACTTGACTCTCCTTGATCCTCAATCCTTACTCTAATCAACTTTTGTTACTATTTCCCACATTTACTCCTCCAACATACATCACTACAGAAGGAGACTCCACCTAACTCGCCTTATTCTTCTACTCTTAGTATAACCACAAGTCACAATTGCCAATAACATAGTCAACAACTCAACATAAGTGAATTTGGAGTGGGAAAGAAAAACCTCTGAAATAAACTATTGGATTAAATCTTGTTTACCTTAGCCCTTGGCCCCAACCAAAGTAGATTTGATCAAGTCTACAACCTGGATGAAGCAACAAGAAGGCTGATGAAATTTAATCTTTTCACTAATCATCCGAATTTGCTTTTGCTTTTTTTATCATAACAGGTAAAAACTACATTTGCACAGAAACGGAAGAAGCAAAAAACTCATGATGCAAATATGCAATGAGATTGAGCACTTCTCCTCGTGCCAGAAATTAATTACTAGACCAAGAAAATTGCCCTATCATTTTTTTTTTCTTACAAACCTATTGATTTAGCCCAAATCCCTAATTCAATTTAGGCTAAGAACTAGTTTGAACCAGATTTAGTTTGGCCCATGTATTGGATTCTTCAACTCTAGTCTAGCCTTTTTGGGAAAAAAGATTTTGACTATTTAATCGTGCTTTAGGCTAAGGACCAGTTTGAACCCCTTTTATGTCGATCATGTTTACAAGGGTAGTTGTTGGTGGCCTTTGCAAACTAGCAAGTAGAGGATATGAAGGGAAAGAGTGTGTATCTTAAGGTAAGAAAGTATATTTATGGAAAAACAAGGGAGTAAAAAAAGGTGATAGGTGGTTTTTTTTTTAAATTTCCTAAGCATTAAACTTAGGTGGGTCAAAACCATTAACAAATTGCAAATAATGGGAAGCCTTAATCAAACACATTCTAATTCTTGTGAGTGAGTCGAATTTCCAATTAAGAAAATCTCTCCGAAAAACCACACCCCAATTTTGAACATTTTTTTAATAAAAAAAATAGGCCAAAACAAGAGGAAGGACAAGGGCATTTGTCCTTTGCATACCAGAAGTTCCTAATCATGTTGGCCTTTTCAGTCAGTTTCACCAAAATCTTGCAGATTCACGTACACCTCAAAGGAGGTATTCTCAAGAAGGAAAAGAAAATGAATTTTCAACCAAAAAAAGTCTTTCAATCTAGTGTAATTATAAACATTTACAGGAAAAAAAAAGGGTTGAAAAAGGTAAAACTTTGCTATCCTAACAGACACAGTAACAAATTTTCATTCATAGTGCTGTCAAAAGAATAACAGGGAAATCTCCAGAGATTACCTGGTGATCAGGCCAAATAGATTTCTTGTCTTCCCCTTTTGCTCCTGTAGAATGGAGAGCCTTATCAAAAAGCATAATCACAAATAAAAAAAAATATTTTTTCATATAAAATAAAAAGTTTGAGGCCTACACCATATAAGGCTCAGCAAATGCGTGATTATACTTTCAAATGTTCAATGACCAGCATACCTGGAGGGCGCTGTTGGCCATGCTCAATAGCATATTCAGATAACTCTAGGGGAAAAAAAAAAAAAATCATATCATGATTACTTGCTGAAAAATTTGATTTCTCAAACCATATTGTGATCTCATGAGTGATTTGAGAGCCAATTCTGTTTGGCCTGAAGGAAAACGACGAAAATAAAAGATCTACCTGTAGAGTGTAGGCTGTAGCCGAATACATGAAATATATTGGAGGTTGCTTATGAATTTAATAGTGCTAATAACTGGATTATACATTTTAACCCAAAGCCTGAAACAAAGACACATATTATATTAAGAAGTTCATGTAGATTAGACAAGAATAAATGCCTCATGGATAGCAAGGTGCTGTACTCAAATCCACACCCAACCGGTCTTTGTCCTTGAGTCCGAGCAACTAAAGTTGTTGATCTATCACTCAAAACATGTTAACTGAGTTGTGAGGGTATGTCTCCTTATGACCCCAACAATGCTGTTATATAAAACAATTACCACAGAACATTTTGTATGCACACACCAAAGGCAGCGGATCACCAATCCATATGAATGTCAGTATGATGAACAGGCTAATTTACCAAATGTCAAATCCATTCATTAAAAATATAAAGTACAAATGCATGAGCAGGTTTGAGTCTAAATATTTTTCCATTCATCAAAAAGTAAACCTTAGCAGTAAGATCTAATTCAAGTTTCAAGGAACAAAGAGCATTAACACATTTTTTCAAGGTGAAATAGCACCCCGAATAAATTATGCAGAAGTAAAACCTGAAGAAGTTACAATATAATTGGAGCAACAATGTGAACTGGAAAATTTTTGACTATTGGGGGGTCAGTTTCTTTAAAAAAAAAAAAAAAAAATTAAGTCCAGGTGGTGGAGCAACTAACATGTAAAAGCTAAGTACTATGTGGGCAAGAAGTACATTGGACAGAAGAACATAGATACACAAGTATTTTCTATAGTATTCAATAACAGAACGCACAGGTGGAATGTGGAAATGTTACTAGAATATGAAAATAAAGAAATATAAAAAGTTTAAATATATAAAAATTTTGAATAAGGAGGGATGATCAAAGAAAACACAAGAAGACAACAAAAGAAAGTTTAGTCTACATCTGCCTTAATTATCTTGTTGAAAATACAGTGCACTTAATCTGGGCCAACCTACAGTAGAGAAAGACTCACCTCCATAGGATTCTACTTCAGGTCACAATTTCATAGTGGAGGTCTTTTTTTTTTTTTTTTTTTTTTTTTTTTTTTTTTTTTTTTTTTTTTTCTTCTAAAAGCACATCCACAACTGCCAGTCCCTTCCCACCATCTTATGAACAAAGATTTTTATCAACCTCAATTCCGATATATGGTTGCGACAAATACTACTTGTCCATGTGACCCTGTCTAAACCTGCAAAACTAACTCGAAGATTAAAAGTGCAAATCAACTTGATCATAATTCAAGTGCAACCTGATTGGTTAACAAGGTCATTAAATACTAATTCAACTTGGTCATAACAATGATTTGCAATCCAATGTGCACTTTGTCAATTAATCCAAGTTTATCATGTAATGATTTTGAAATTCAAGGGCCTGAGGTACAAACAGTTTTGAGAATGTCCACTCTGATCAAATAAAGCAAGCTTATCTACGATAACATATTCCATTCCCCTCAATATCCAACAAAACCAGGGAGTTTAACAGGAAGTTTCATGAAAAAAATATATATATATATGGAATATATGCACTAAAGACTTGTTGCCTGAAAGTCAAAATAATCATTAACCAATTCAGGACAATGTTACCTAATTCATGATTCTTCGGTACACAGAACTGGTACAGGAATCCAACTCGATTTGTTAAACTAATTCAAAAATGTACCATCGTACGTCTAAACCATTGTTAGCAGGGGTGCGAATAGCCAAAAAGGTTGCAATAATTTGGGTTTTTCTGTAATAACATTGTAGCAAAAATTTCACCTACCCTTCCATCTATGGAAATGCAAAATAAAGCAACGATATGGAGATGACGTTACCTACCACTGTCAGCATTGTCTTTATTAAGCAACTAGCATACACAGCACAAAACTGGAAATTTTATTGCATGAGCTAATAAACAGTTTTTCAAAGCCATTAACATGTACAGTAACAATAATTTATAATAGTTGTAAACCTGTAATGCACCTTATACATATTTTCTTTGCATCTAGCTATCTACATGACGATACGGTGTTCTTGATTTGAACACTAGAGACCTTCTGTGACAATCAATATAATAGTCGCCTTATAAATTTATAGCAGCATTACTAAATAACTTGAGGCTGCATGTTGCAGCAAAATGAAGTATGGGGAACCCTTCCTATTGTGGTATGCATTGTTCTATTTTAAGTAAAATGACTAAAGCATCCTATCACGATATATTTGCACATAATGATACATGCCTACAGATGAAGTTCTTTAATGAAATAAGTTAAAGCCAAAATAGGATTATATTATATGAAGATTTGCTAACAACTTGTGAGTGGCTGACTCATTAAGTCCTTTAAATATATATAGTGAAGAAAAAGAAGCTTCCTAATATTATTATTAACCTTACTCCTCTTCTTCAAATACGTCATACTCTACAGTAAGCTCAAAGAGTTATGAGATCCAAAAACCATCTAGATTAGCTTTGATTGGCATCAGAAGTCCACCTTCTAAAAATTGACTCCGTGACCCCATTTGGTTCCTTTCTTTCATTATCCATTCAAATTCATCACAAATATAATAATGTCCCCAAATAAGTGAGCTCTCTCTCTCTCTCTCTCTCTCTCTCTCTCTCTCTCTCTCTCTCTCTCTCTCTCTCTCTCTCTCTCTCTTATGTAAGCAGCCTTTTTTTTCACATGAAAATCATTAAAAAAAACTCTAATCTGTCAATGTATGTCTGCAACTGAACGGGGTAAATACGTCACATAACGCGTGCCTATATGATCCATTGAAGAAATTTGAAGGATTAATGCTTACTGGCTGTAAATACTTGAAGAAATACTACAAATTCACAGACATAATCCACATAATTTCTCTCAAATAACTTTACTACTTATGTCCACTACTATCTTTACCACCCTATATAAGACCTAGCTACCCACTTCCCTTCCCGTCTCATATTTTTCATTGGTTTTCCCTCTCAAAACCCATTTCTTTTTTATAATCAATTTCCATTCAGCTATACTTTGCATTCCTTTCAACTATTTCAAGTTTTCTAGCTTAAACATATCACCATGCAGTCTAATGAGGTTGCAGGCCTTCAATATCTATATCCTTCAAGCCAAAGCTCATACCCAAACTTTTCTGGTATGGCGCAGAATGATATATCTTCATATCAGATCAACAAATACACCAACCTATTATACAATATCCAGATTGGTCCACAGCTTCATGAACTCAATCCACTTCCATCATGTTTCAGCAATAATTCAACATCAGATGAAGCTGATGAGCAACAGTTAAGTATTATTAATGAGAGGAAGCAAAGAAGGATGATATCCAACAGAGAGTCCGCACGTCGATCACGTATGCGCAAGCAGAGACACCTGGATGAGCTCTGGTCCCAGGTTGTTTGGCTCAGAAATGAGAATCACCAGCTCATTGACAAGCTGAACCATGTTACAGAGTCCCACGACCGCGTCCTTCAAGAGAATGTTCAACTTAAAGAAGAAGCTTCTGGACTTCGTCAGATGATTACTGACATGCAGCTCAGTAGCCCTTACTCCGCTCTGAGAGATTTAGAGGAGGTTGCTAATGAAGCCTACCTTGAAGATGAGTCACCAAACTAGACCTAAAGTTCCATGGGTTCACTACCTCTAGGATGACTATGATTTTACCTTTTTGTATCCGTTTCTACCTCTTCATGGGGTTAGGTCAATTAGTCATTGTCTCTGCCTCTTTTTAAGCAGTATCCTATTAGAGGAAAACTAGTGCAGGCAAGAATACATCTAGAGAATTCCTGCCACTATCATACATATAATGAGATGCTACATGTTATTTGCTTCTTTTCAGACTTTTTCAATAAAATCAGAGTTTCACAAATGCATTCAGACAAGCTTAATACACATCTAACCAGTGACACCACGCTACAAAAATGTAATCATGCAGATATGCCATAAAATTATTTATGAAGATTCAAGAATGTCATTCAACCATAGCCTCAAGTTATGAGATTACTGACCCAAATCTTCCCGTCAGGAACCATGATCCTTAAATATTGATCACAATCAGTCCCCATCTGCATCAAACATAGGAAATAGCCTGAAAATAATTTTTAAAATTTATAAAAAAATAAATAAATAAAAATAAAAAATGAGAGTTCATCATATCAGGTGTCTAAATCTGATGCAAGAATAGTCGCATGATAGGTACTGTGTGCATGTAAGTAATAGTTAAACAGATACTGGCAACTTGGTGGTGGGGTTCCTGATCCTCAGTCAGGGAAGACAACTAACCAAAAATAAAAAAGAATGGAAGAGGTACTTACATAAATGGATAAAAATTGCTCGCAATTTTAGAAATCGAATTTGGTAACTTTCCTTTATTTTATTTTATTTAAAAATCAAGAGCCATCAATTCAGAGTTTAGTATAACCCCTTTTATTGTTTAGTATAAATAAAAGGGATACCAGATACCAAGCTAATAGTTTATACAGACTAATAAACTATCAGTAACATAATTTAAACTAGTATGGAGTACATGGGTAGATGAACAAAATTTATAAACAATTAACTTTTCTTAAAAATTCTAGCTACTATTGATAATTAAAATAAACATCTTGCATAATTTTTTAGAATACAAGTTTAATCTTTGACCATAAATTGTAACTCCCTCTTTGTTCCTAGTGTTTGTCCTCCTTGACTTTTCATAATGTTAAGCATTACGAGAAGTACAAAAGAGTTATTAAGAATTGAATTAATGTACTAAATATGGAAAAGGTTAGCAAATACTAAAATAGACATCTGATTGTATTAGTAAATTTGACCAACAGGCAGCACATTCTATATGTACATTAATTAGTAGGTATAGCAGCAATGAATAGAACAACACTTAACCAATTGGATATTGGTGTAGTGGTGATTGGGACTACACTTGGTAGGGAGGACCTGTGTTCGATCCCTCGCAACAACAATTGGGAGGGGATTGGAACCTAACCACCCAAAACTGATCCCCGAATTCGGATTAGCCTAAAAGGGTGAACCGGGTAGAACACAAAAAAAAAAAAAATAGAACAACACGTAAGGACACTTTATACAATTATTTTATAGTAGTATGAGGTGACTAAATAACATCCACTGAAGAATTTGGCACTGGAATTGTTAAAATAAACTTACTCTTCAATATGATCCTCTTACTAGCATTAGAATCCACATTAGTCCAATATAATATGATCTTACTCCGTCGATATATAGAAGAGAAAAGAAAGGCTGCTACAGTTCAGGGAAACCTCCAAGTACGAGGGATAGTCCCCTTCCCTTGCTGAACATCTTGGTGACAAGAACCCCTATCATTTTGACAAAATTTTGTTAAGTCTAGCTTAGAATTTGCATCACAATAGATCTTTACAATATTTAAGAAATGTCAGACTACAATGTAAAAGATTTATTACTTCCCAAAATCCCAATAGGTAGTACCATTATACATATGGAAATGCAAATATGAATTTATCTCTGGGATTAGGTAAGCTAAGCTATAACAAGATTGGCAGAATAAGTTGCAAAAGATCACAGTAGTAACTAGTAAGAAGTCCTGAAGTTAAATAAATATATTGGCGAATTATAACATGAAACATGTTGGCACGTGCAGAATACAGCTGGAAATTTTCTAAACATAGATGTCCATACAATCCTTGCTGTAAAGGATTTGATCAAATCATATTTATTGATATTGTTTATAATTAGCAATCCCTTAATTTACTCTTTAGATTGATAGTCAAAGATATCCCTTATTCTTAGCTAATGTTCCTAGACAAGTACTCCAATGTATCTAGTCGTATTATATTGCTTAATCATGTACTATATATACTCATGGAATCACATCAATATAATTAAGCTTTCCAACATTCTCTTTCCCATAACTCTATCACTTGCTTCATCCAAATATAAAAAAAATAAAAATTAGTCAAACTTTAACAGTTTAGTACTCTATTTGGGGCTAAATTAAACCATAAAGAAAAGAGCCTTAACACTGCACATTCCAACCCAATACAGTAGTACTATTTTTCGAACAAAATACCAATACTATAACAGAACCTCCTGCTATCCCCATGGATAAAGGCAATCACTCTCAAGAGTTGAGTTCTTTCACTAACAATATTTCTGCATCTTGAACCCTCTTTTGAAACCAAGCACAACATAGAGAACCACCAAACTTCTCCAAATCAGGAACAGATTATAAGATACATCAGTTATATCCCCATCCACCTCCCTGGAAATATTGATTGTTAAAATAAAAAGGAAATATAGAACAACAATGAAAGATTTGGATGAATCGAGATTGGGCAACGTAAGGAGTTATACTCTAAGAGCAATGAACTCATTAAGTGGCTCTAGGAACTCTCAAGAGCAGAAATGTATAGATAAGCCATGGATTTTTCCATTAACCATAAATTCCATGCATTAAGCCATCTAAATCTTCATCAGAATACTTCTAAAATTGCAAATAATGAATTCACTGCTATATAATTAAAGTCAATCTTAGTGTACTTTATTTTGTAGTATCAATATAACTTATCAGTAAATCCATCACCACAAGTTCTTTTCCGCCGAAGCAAAAGACTGCTAATTTTTACTCTCGTAATATTAGTAATAGTATGTAAACTGTGTTACGCAAATACATTGTGACCAGTTTTCTCTACAAACCTATCTCCACTTAAAACATAATCATTCTTAATAAGAATGTACATAACAGATGGAACTATATATTGGTTGCAACTTACACATTCTTGAAGGCATTGTATTTTTATTTTCCTACAGCAAAGCCCACACATCTACACAACCCTTAGGCTATCTTAATAGGTTGAATATTGCAATAGAACTCTGAACAGGTAATCATATACCCATTTTGAGGGGATTGAGCTACTGCAGTGGCTTGGTTTTTGGGAGGGAAACGGAGCTGAGATGGACAGCACCTAAGATGATTCAAATATGAAGCTAGTGTGAATTGAAGAGGTATAACAAGTTGAAAAGATGTCTAAGAGGAAGAATACTTTGTAGAGAATGTAGTCATGTGAGAAAACGCTTACTTGGTTTAGGATTGGTAAAATATATACAATAAACCCCTGTATAGTCTGATGCCAAATTAAAAGATCTACTCTAGTGTGAAAAAACCAACCACCCCTCGTATGAAGGGAAAGGAAAACCACATAGCAATAGCTACGAAAAATTTCAGCCTAGTATAATCAACACGACTTCAAAATGATACATTCATAATCAATACATTAGCTCCTTCAATTGCCATTTACAAAGCAATATCCAAACAAACAATCCTCTCCAATTCCAAAAACTCGAGACAATGCATTCACATACAAAGAAATATCGCTGCTCAGTATCCCCAAATTAAACTTGTTTATTTGTTACACCCATCATTCCTAAAGTAGCAGTCATGTTTCTACAGCATGCTCCTTAGGAGAGGAGAATTCCCTAGAAAAACTCCGGCGCCTTTCCGACCGCCATTATCCAATTAAAGTTCACTCCACTAGCTAATTCTACTTAACTACTAGTCTCCATTCATCAGCAACAATTGACAAGTATATAAACAAATAAGTAGTTTGCTATAAAATTGAATGAACTCAAAATTGCACAAGTATAATACAGATACTAGAATCAAAATTCATAAAAACTACATCAGCGAACCTAAATTGCAAATGTAATTAAAAATCAATGAAATGTACGTAGTATATTAGTAACAATCAACCAAAATTTACTGAATTTTTACCAAATTCTTGAATTTCATGATGTGTTTTGAATAAATTATACAGAAATTTATGAATTATTTGAAAATGAAACCCTGGGATAAAAATGCAAATCATATGATATTAGAAGGAGAGAGATTTGATTACCTGCTGCAACGAGTAATGCAGATGTTTTGCTGAAAGAAGCTTCTTAAGGAAGGAGGGAAAGACAAAAACGATGATTTCACGGCTTTTATAGTTTCGAATGAAGGTCCCTTTGCCTTAAAAAAAATGATGATATTCCCTCTATCCCTTAATACGTACTCCGTGGTACAAAGCATCTTTTTTACGTGGTAAATAGAAAGAGGCTTTGTAGTGACGGGAGAATACGTTTTTTTTTTAAAATAGAAATGATACCGTATCTAGTACAAAAAAAAAATAAAAAAAAAAAGTTTTTTTAGGGGAAAAAACATCAATTCACTAATTAGTTCAATAATAGAACAAATATAATGGAGGCTAGAGAGTCAATAAATATAGTTTAGTAAAAAAAAATCAAGTGAAAATAAAGTGAAAAAATCCGGTCCAAAATAAAAAATAATTAAGTACTCTACTCAACAAACAAGAATGTCAATTTGGTCCTTAAGGACAAGAGTATTGAATTCTTCGTCCTCTTGGTGCAAAAGATTAGGTGGTGAATCCTTTAAGGATTGTTGAGCATCTTCTTCCCCTTGAAGATCCTTAGCATTTTCTAATATCAAAGAGGATGTATTTTACATCAGCTAAAACCTCATACAAGAGGATAAAAATATATTGAGGATATTCATGCTCTTAGACTTGCCACCAGATCAACCCAAGAGTGGTGGTCATTAAGTGCAATCCTTCATTATATATTGAGAATTACTACATGTCTACATGCATTTTCTTAATTGCATTATTGTAATCGGACACGTTTATCGATACACAAGTTTGACTGTATATATTTTAATTTTGTATTTATATGAGTATAAATATAAAATATTGATATTATCAAAATATATGGTAACTAACATATTCACGATATAATCAAACTTCAATTAGGTTACATGCCTAGAACGTATAGAGTTGACTGATTGCCCTAATTTTCCAACTTCAAACATTCTCTTTTTTTTTC